TTTTCCAGAATTTCCAAATCACTATTTTTATTAATAATTTTTTTTTGTTTTTATGTATTTAATTTAACATTAATGTACTTGTGTGTAATATTGATTGATATTTAAACATATTTATTTTTTTCAAGTTAGTTTGACTAATTTTATATGCAATTGATAAAACGTTTCCTTTAAAAGTAGCTTTCTTAGTAAAGATACAAAATGCATTTTAGCAATAATAATACAAAGTAATAGTATTAATGGCAATGATTTAAAAGAAATAAAAATCGCCACTTGTAATATGTGTAATTTTATTTATATTTAAATGTAATTATTTTTTTGGGGTGACACAGTGGATCAATGGTTAGCACGGTCGCCTCACAGCCAGAAGATTGCTGGTTCAAGTCTGAATTATTTAAACTAAATTGGCCGTAGTGTATGAGTTTGAATGACTGTGTATGGATGTTTCCCAGTACTGGGTTGCAGCTGGAAGGGCATTTTAGTAATAATACCACAAAGTAATAGCATTGGTAATAATTTTGATTTGATTTAAAAGAAGAAAAAAAAAAATATTAAGGACATGCTTTCAAGTGACCAGAGCGTTCACATTACAATAAGAAAATCATAAAACACTCATAAAAATCTATTTCCACCTGAAGATGAAATATAAAGCCATCTATCAATCTCTCTGCCTCATCCAAAAGCTCTTGTGTCCATTACAATTCAAGCACACGTCGGCCCATCGTCCACTATTTTAACAGTATCACAAAAAGCCCACTTTTCAGCACAAGTGTTTTCGGCGAAACCCTCGTCTCTCCTTAATCTCCGCGATGTGACAATAACGCAGCTGTAATGCTGAAGTGTCGTCAGCAGATTATGACTGTGATTGCAGAAAGGACATGTGGATTACAGATGCAGCGTTTGCATTGTAAATGAGGGCCGGAAGATGGCAACATGCTTATTCGGTAGAAGGTCAGTCGATACCGGCCTTATTAAGACTGACTGGAGGAGCATTAATCAAATCACCTGATTCTACAAACATGAAGACGAGAGGGAGAGAGAGAGAGAGAGCGAGAGAGAGAGAGAGAGAGAGAGAAAGAGAGAGAGAAGAAGAGGGAAAAGCCCAGGCATTCAGCTGAAGTTTAGAGAAGGCAGGCCTTTATTATCAAGACTTTACAAATATTTTATGTCTGTTTTGTTCTACTGAGGGCTGGGTTAAAGGCGGAGTCAAAAGGTTGGATTAGAGACGGAGGAAAAATAGTAAATGACCATAGCTAAAGTTTTGTTTTGTGTTAGTATTCTTTTTGTTAATTTAAAATGTCATGATCCTAACCCAGGTTTATTGTTGATACGTACCCTTATATACATTTCTGGAGATTGTGAAATACGCCCAGGAGCTACTTTTTTTGTAGTGTATTCGCGAATCCACCAGAGGCTGACGTGTACACTTTTTTCAGATCTCAAATTTCACTTGCGAGTGCTATTCGTGCCTGCTGTTCTCACGTAAATCCACAAGAGGCCACTTTTGACTGACTGACTGACTGACTGACTGATTGACAAACCAACCGATGACCCCACCCTCCCTTTTCCCTAATCCCAACCAATGGTGTTTTCAAATGCAATCAGGAAAAAAAGTAATCCCTCACAGCTGCCTGATTTTTACCACACTTTCAGATCTTACCATGTTCTCACCCTGTAATTAAGTTGTTTATCTAATTTTTTGCCGTTTGTTTTACGTGCTTTTTGGAACCGGTCTATGCCAAACTCAAACCCTGTCATCACGGTCAACTCCTCTCTGCGTCTAAATTTCATCAACAAACATGGCGAGCTACTGGGCAAACTGGTAACAGCGGTAAAGCCGTCCACATGGAGTTAAGTGGTCAGCTGGTAGCAGGAAAAGAAACAGAATCCATCTGCGGTGTCATACCACCCTGTAGTGTTTGCTTTAAAAGACAAAATGCAGCCATACGTAGCTCTGGCTACAAAATTTGCACTCTCCAGAAATGGATACGGGGGTACATTTTCACAATGAGCCTGTGTTGCATGATCCACTGTGTTATGGTTTGTATTTCACATTGTTCAGATATATAAACACAAACGTTTCAGCTCAACACCTTCCTCAGCGAGTGAAACTCGAAACTTCTCCCTCCACCCTCTTTTTTTGTTAACAAATATATTTTCTTTCATACAATATTTTTACTTTACGATTTCGAATAGATAAAACAATGTGATGTTTGATGGTAAATACTTTAACTAATGGACCAGTTTAAAGAGTTAGAGTTACAAATATTATGTTTTTTTAGGACTATTTATTTCTTTTAAGTTTAATTCACTTCAATTTGTAAAAACTATTAAGCTAACTTAATCGATTTGTGTTGGGACAGCATGAAGCAATTGTGTGAAACCCTGCATTTTTTTTGCAGCGTAGAGTTAATTGTTAAAAAAAAAATTCTCTTTAATCCCCCTCCACTCAATCCGTCCCTCCTTAATTCAGCCCTTTTTGGTTTAATGTTCAAGCTGCTTCACAAGCCCCACCCCTTAGGTTTAGGTTCCACCTTCTTTCACACGCCATGCTTAATTACCAAGCTGCTGTAAAAGCCCCGTCCCTCTCTCACATCCCCGTGTCTGTGTCTGAAAGCAGCATTCGCTCAGATCGCTCTCTTGTCCTGCTTTATGAAGCTGAAGAGGCATGTCAAGTGTCACTGAACCCCTCCAAACGCCAACAGGACGCTGCCAGCCCTCGTCTCTCACATTATGACACAATTACTGGCTGGCATCAAACGCCTCGGCATCATTGCCAGTTCACCTGTGTGCAGTCCAGGAACATTTTGGCCTCGTCCATGCATGCAAATCCACAATCATGATTCAGTCCTGAGATAAAACAACCGTTGATGTGACACAGCAGATCACTGAAATCAACCCTAAATGTTCTTTTTGCTTTCTTCATTTGCACAAGAATACAAAAATACTGGAGTAAAACTGAAAAAAAAAATGTGCAGGAAGAGGTAAAAGCCCAAAAGGCTCATTTAGAGCCTCTAACTAAATAATAATATTATTAATAATAATAATAATAATAATAATAATAATAATAATAATAATAATAATAATAATAATAATAATAATAATAATAATTTTTAAATCACTTGTTAGCGCACCCCTTTTGTAAACGATAGCTCATCCAGAAATGGAAGTTAACTGTGGATTAAAGGCAATAATGTTAAATATT